CAGAAACAGAGCGAATGCAATGCAGTGCCCTGCTTAGGTTGAGTGAGAAATGGCTGCTCCAGCTGCAAGCTAAGAAACGTGGGAATAATTAGAACCACGTCCGCCCATTGCTGGGCGAATGACTCACTCATTCACGCTCAAGCCACGAGCGCATGCGGCAGGCACCATCCAACATCCTGACCACGGCATGTGCGTCGTACCGCAGGTCCTACCTCCTCTCCTACCTATAGCAATGGTAATGAACCGGAAGGGTGAGGAGAAGGGCAGCAGCCCGGTGCCAGTTACCCCGGCTTAGCGCCATTCCTGGCTGTGCCTGCCCGCTCCTGTTGCTGCACCAGTCTGTGTGCCTCCCGGGCCGCGCTGGGCAGAGAGAAGAGAGGGAAACTTGAAACAGTGCTGGATGGTGCTAGTGGTGGTGCATCGTCGCCGGATCCAGGTCCGGCGCTATCTACAACGATATCAAGGGGTATTATGGCCAGAAGGGAGGGCAGCTTCTTTCGTGCATCTCTTGCGAATACCGTCAGTCGGGTTAAAGCATCTTGGGCAGGGACTACCAGCTGAACTGCAGGGGGCGCCTTGTCTCGTTAGGCACCCAAGGCCCCGGGAGAGAAATGAAAGGGAAAATTTTTTCTCTCTTCCCTCTGTATAAGCTTCCTCCCGCACGGACGTGGAGGAGGGGGTGTGACTTGGGAAAGTGGAAAAAATAGCACACACACACACACTCACTCACAAGACGCATACTTTGGATGGCTGTACATAGTACGAGTAATTGCTTCATGTTCATGGTCTCGTCAGCATGAAGAGTGGCGTCCATTGCTAAGCAAACCAGACTGGTATGCAGACTTACACGTACGACGGCCAACGACGGCCGTTAGTGCGTTTCTATCGACCCAGACCGACTCTCTCAAGGGAAACGCTGTACTACAGGCACCCCGCAAGGCATGGACGTCATAACGTCTCAACCAGGCAGGTCTGGCAGGCACCATCTGGCAGGCACGAGCTCACACTGGCCGTCCATTCCTGCTGCTGCTATGCGGTACACACCCGCAGAATGATGTGCGTCCAGCCGTAGGTACCAGCCGCTCAAAGGGCATGGCCACCCACCACCCAGCATGCCCATGCGATGGAACGGCATCCATACCTATTACCAAGGTTAGGTTGGTAGGTAGCATGTGGGATCGGAACGGGTCGGCCACGCGCCCATCCCAGAAAGCCCAGCAGGCAATGCAGCCAAAGCAGCTGAAAAAAGAAATGCGGCAGGAGACAACAAGGCCGGGCAGAGGGCGTCGTCTTTTCCTTGGGGGCGGGATGGAAGAGAGAGTCCGGTTATCAGCACTATTAATTGGCTGTGTTGTGGCTGTACCGGTGTGCTGGCGTTGGTTAGCTGCCTTCCCTTCCTTCGCATGCAAGGGCTTGGTTCGCAACAAGAAGGGCTCGAGCCTGCCCACCACCACCACACGCGCTGCTGAGTGTGACTCATAACCGTCGCTCTGGCTGCTGGTGACCACTCACAGCTCTCAGAGGCCTGGCTCTGCCTCTCTTTCTCCCACGCCGTGCTGACTTGTGTGATGAAATTGGCCTGACCACGATCCCGTAATTTAAGAATAGCACCTCACCTACGTACGTTAGTGGTTAAAAAAAGAAGAAGGAAAAAAACTTTCTCACCATGTGCTCCCATGTGGAAACAAATCGCTGGAGAAAACATGAAACGCACCGCATGCACACACTCTACACACGCAGCGCAGTGGAGGGCATCCAGCCTCGCGACCCGGCATGAGTGATGGTGTGAACAGAGCCACCATCATCCATGCAGCAGCCACAAATGTGCCTTCCCATGTGGAATCCCTCCAGGTGGGTGGATATCCGCTCCATGGTGACAGAATTCCCTGCGTGTGCATCCCCCCCAGAGGTACGACGTAGTACTTTGTTTACTGACCCCCTCGAGATCGTCGCCGTGGTAATCCTGGCTTAATGTAGGGCTGATGGGTGGAGAGGGCGATGCCGCCGTCTGATAGGCAAAGTATCCTCATGTATGCCCCTCTGGTCATATGAGACCACTGCATGTAACCGCAGGTGCGCTCAGTACAGTGCATCTGGGGTCTCGTGAAGGGTGGTCCTCTTGGGGGCGGCCCAACATATGGTTCGCATGTCTGCCTGGGCTGCCACTCGTCCAGGCTTCGTCATGATCCATTCTCCCCTCGTTGGACCCGTGCCGTGGAACCAACACTCCCGCTCCTGGGTTCCCCAGTAAACAAGGTAGCCTCTTCACGGCCCGGCGCGCTTCGGCGGCCTGTACTCTCATTAGGCAGTCAAGGACAGTATTGGACATTGGGGGCTCAGCAAAAGAATCAATTCAGCTATCTACATCCCCCGATCAGGCTTCATACCACGAGGGAACAGTGACAATGAGAAAAGAAACCGGGTCACCCCTGACCCATCGCATAATCATTCCTGGGAGAAACGCGCATCTTCTCGTTAATTCTCATCAGTCGTAAGGAGTTGCAACGTGAAAGAGACAGCATCCAGGGATCCCACTTTGGGCATATCGTCCAGGATGGCCTGGTGTATGCAGGCGACAACCAATGGGAACCATCACCGTCGCCGCACCACGAGTAGTCACCCAGTATTGAACTGTCATTCCTCAATCTAGGGAGGGGTAATTGTGATGAAGAAAAAAACAGCGTGATAAAAAAATGGTAAATACGAAAACGGGATCAGATGTAGTAATGACGTCGCCAGAAATCCTCGTAGGTGGTGTCCACCTTCTCGACCCGACAGGAGGTCCCCTTGTTCCGAAGCCGATGATACTTCTTGTCCAGATCTTCAAACCTGCCCCTCCAATACCGAGCCTTCTCCCCCCAGTATTCCACTTCTGTATTCAGCTCGGATATTCTGCGGTTGGAGTTCTGGTCCAGTTGCCGTGACAGCTCCCGCACTCTGGATCTCAAATCCGCATTGGTCTCCAGAACTTCTTTGTTCTCCTTCTCCAACGCTGTGATCCTGCACCGAAGTCTGTCCAGTTCGTGGTGGTGCTCCCCCGAATTCTCAAGTGAGCATCGCAACGCTTGGTTCTCCGCCTGGAGAGCACTGATCTGGCAGCGAAGGTCCGGGACGACCACGTCGTTGAGTTGGCGCACGTCAGCCTGGGCAGCCGAGAGACTAGTTCGCAAGTCCTGGTTCTCCTTGGTCAGAGACTCGTTGTTGTCGGTCAGGATCCGGTCGCGTTCCTTCATCACCCTCCAATCCTCCGGCCTGATCATGAAGTACTCGTGGCCGACGTACTCCTGCGGGATATCATCATGGACGACGTGGTGGTGGTGATGGCGGTGGTGCTTGTGTCCATGAGAGCGGGATCGTTTGAGCTTGACAAACTGCCCCTTCCCACAAGAGTCTGTCTCATAGTATAGCTTCCTCGACATCGTCAAGGAGGTTAGCCTATTGAGCTTATTATCGTTGCCGTCTCACTATGGGGGTCTGTTTCGCAAACAAATACTATGGATTATCAGAATCGATGGCAGTTTCTGTTTCAAAAGATCATGGTAATTAAGACAAGAGCAAAATAAGAACGCGGGAAGCAGCTTGGGATACGTTATGAAGACGTCGTCGTCTTATAAGGTGGCCCCCCCAAACCATCCTCTTTGTCAAAGTAGACGAGCAACACAACACGAGACCATAGCATTTGGCGTAGCAACGTGCTCCCCAAGCCTCGACCTAGGAGCCTGGATGTTTCACGCAGACGCAGAAAGCGAACAAAGAGACGCAGCAAGGGCACGCCGAAATGGTCAGGTTGGCTTATCACCCAGCCTTGTGCGCTCGTAGACGAGCCTGCCCCATGGTTGGGCCTCACCCACGAGGCAGGCCGGCATGGTACATGTCTCATTGGTCATGCTCGACACCAACAGAATGGGAAGCGAGAAATCATAGGTGCTAAGCACCGGGCTGATTGATGGCCTCGAAGACTAGTGGTAGCCTTCTCACATTGTCACATGGCGGCGATGCGCTATGGGCACATACTCTCTGAGCCGTGCGCTCCATGATGGGCTAGCTGTCTAGTAGCTTGCGATGCCCACGCAAGGCTCGGTTTGTCAGGGGGTGGGCAGAGCCGATCGATATGCGCGCCATCATGCCAGGCCGGCAGCTAGTTTAGGCGATATCATGAGATGGCAGAAAAGCCCCTAGTGGTGAAGTCAGTTGATGCCAAGCAGCACGCGAAGGCGAGAGTAGTTCGCACTATCCATTTGGAGGCTGCTACATGTGAGCCCTTGCCGCGATTGTGGTGACACAAGTCCCTTGCAGAATGTGCACTGTGCGGATGCCCTCTCGATTCTCACTGTGGTATCATCCCCCCTCCAAGTCGACTTCTGCAACCACTTCGGGCTATAACCGACACCTGTGTCATACATATCACCCAGCCAACTAAACCGGGATGCATGTTACTTGTCATAGATGCACATTACCATCCAACGGCACGGATATCCTCTGAGGGAGGGTGAGCAAAAGAACCCTATTTTAAGCTGCTACGGCGATCCACGCGTTTATTGTCCCATCTAGGGAGTTGACAAGTGCAGCCAATACACCCCCCTACATCCTCTGGAATGAAAGAACAATCATTCAACCCAACTTTCCGTCCAAGCTCAAGGGAGATGGCCTCCCATGCTAGCTGTTCCCTTTGCATGGGGCTGCTTAATTGAATGAATGAAACGTCAGCGCTGGTGAAACGAGACAGTCCAAGCACCCAATTTCTCACCACCTCTTGCATTGATCAACCTAAAAGAAGTAAAAGGGGCGACGGGCCACGATGTACCTGAATACTACTTCATGCTAATAGTCAGACTCGTCCGGCACAAGCCCCAGTGCAAACGACCCAACAGAGCTCGAGCGGCTTGGCCTCCCGCATCCCACAATCCTCGGCCGCCCTCCCCATCGAACTCTTGGATGGCCATGCTCCCTACAGCACGGCCCGTGATATTCCACTCTGCCTGCGTGTCCTCGGGGGTTGTTCAGATGCTCCGCGCAGTATCGCGAGTCCCCAACCACCAAGCCTCGACAGCTCGCAGTCCCGCACGTGTGTCTCTCGCAGAAAGGGGAGAGGCCGTGGTGGTGTCCATGGCCAGCCGGTTCGCTTGGGTAGTCCGACACGGCGCACTTGTGTACGGCGCAATACCGAAAGGAATGGATCCTTGGCTCTGAGCACTGAGGCTTGCCGCAGAAGTGAGTCTCGCAATAGCAGGCGCACCTCGTGGCTTGTCTCTCACATCGGCAGCCGTGCTCTGGGCAGTCGTAGACATACCGCGGTTCGTCTATATATCATCATCAGTAGAATGTCCCAGTAGGTGTCTCTCTCAAAACTCACCATCGTCCCCATCATCCCCGTGTCTCCCACACCTCCTCCCATGGCCGCGAGCCCGAGGGTGTACATGAATCCTCCCACACCGCATCGTATCCAGGACCGACCGATGCTTGAGACAGAACTGCTCAGAGCTCGCCTCCAGCTCGCACCCGTCCCATCCACACTCGTGAGTCGGGCAGAAGTGCTGCCCACGCCTATGCTGGTCGCACGTCTGATGCCGGCACCCGTGCTCCTCGCAGAACCTGCCCCGTCCCGCCATCCTCCCCTTATCACAGCCGACATCCACGCACTGGTGCTCGGCGCAGTGGCACCCCGCCAGCCTCTCCTTCTGGCACCCGTCCACCTGGCAGTAGTGCCTGCTGCAGAACGGCGTCACCACCCCGTTCTCCCGCGCGTGGCAGAACATGGTGCAGTACGCCGACCGGCACCTCCTGTGCCTGTCGCAGAACCGCTTCGGGTCCCCCGGCTCCCCGCCGCCGGCGACGCTGCACTGGCAGCTCTCGTATCCGCAGGTATGCTTTGTACAAAATGCCCCGGAGCTCTTAACCTCTTGGCAATCTTTGCTAGGGCACCGGTGGTCGGGGCAGTATCGGAGATCCTGGCCTTCGAGATGGGCGCGCCGCTTCTTACACTTGTCCGCGCAGCAGAGGTCTGCTCTGGCTGTTAGTTGTTGGCATTTTCCCCCTTTCATGGGTTGATATCTTCATTTTCTCTGGGAAGCTCACGGAACTGTGCGCAGTAAACGCTCCGGTTGGGATCGTCGTCCTTCACATGATGGCTACAGCGTACACCTCGCTCCATCGCAGTACACTGCAGATCTTTGGCCCTGTCAACCATTTCCTATACTTCAAAACCATAGGAGGCGAGAGGTTCAGGGGAGGGCACTCACGGTCATCACAGTAGTTATACCTCGACGGCATCTTCTGTATGGGGCACAAATGGCCACCATCCACCGACCGGCACGCATGATGCTCGCAGTGCGGCGACCTGTAGATCCTGCCGTCCACCTGCGTCACGTACACCCTGTTTCTGCAAACAGTCCCCTGCGCCCGGCATCGCTGAGGGTTGTTCCGGGCGGCGACGTGCCCAGGTGGCCTGATGTGCTGGTAGTAGACCGGTTGATACGGCCGCATGTTGAAGGAATCTCGCCGCCTTCTATATTTTGGCCATGTTAGGCCAACAATAGGCAGTGGTAGACTCAGTGCTTTTTTCTGATCACAGTGATTGGATTAGAGAGTTTTCGTAATACGGTCTATTTTCGCTTTGAAAGGAAAGAGATTCCAGGGCAATGAGGAGGGGAGGTGGAGGGGGTACCCAACTCGCCGTTCGAGTTATACTAACCATCTATCAGCCTCATGACATTGTGCGAGACAACACGTCATGGGCGCTTCAAAATCGGTTTATGGTCTGTTTGTGATGAAATATATCAGCGTAGGTGCTCTCTAGTTACATAACCGTAGCACTAGGGGATACGACTACGTTAGGAGTGGCTCTTCCAATGCAAATAACAGGCATCCATGAATCACCAAGGTGCACAGTACGACGCAAGACAAACACCATAAGGTCACTCTCGTCAGGCCCTTTGGTGGCATGAGGAAGGGGGCAGTAAATTGCTTGGTGGAAACCGCTTTAGTCAAACTATATGCGCAGCCCCTGTATCCTTGGGCGTGAAGAGGTGAAGAGTATAGGTATATATTCGGTTTGGAAAATATCAATCGAAGGTAGAACGCCAGAACTCCAATATTTTCTTTTCCCTTGACTCTCAAAGAACCTCTCGTTTGTTTCGCCATATCCATTGGTATCGTACCCCGTCTAAGACAATTCGACATTTCGCTGATAACGTAATAAAGTAAAAAGGAATGAATGTTGACTCCTGGCTTGCATAAACCAGGTAACAGAAGTGTGACACAAGTCACGCCGGAAACCGGGCGTAGTCATGTAGTCATGTAGTCATGTCTGCAGTGGGATTTCTCCCATGGGCTCAAGACGCTGCCAGATTTTGGTAGATGTTGAGCATGAGGATACATGATTCCATGTCCTGCGATCTGGAGACATGGCATGGTTTCACGATGTGGCCTCTGCCACAGCAGCCTGGAGTCCTTGGAGTAAAGCAGCCTCGGCGGCATTGTCGTTTTGATGGTCCGCAGGATGTGGCTGCGTGTGTTGAATGGGTTCTACGGGCGAAGCTTGGGTGACCGGAGCGTACGACATTTGGGGCTGGGGCGGCGTCGGGAGTTTCAGGGTATGCTGCGGCTGTGGTTGCGCGGCGGGCACGGGAGAACTGTGTGTAGATACACCTGCAGGGCCTGGAGTAGGTGTTCCAGAGCTTTGGCGGTGGTGAGATGGCGTTTGCGGAGTGGCTGGTCTTGATGTGGAAGCCTGCCTGTGCATCTGGTGTTGCAAATGATGGTGAGTTGGTTGTTGGCCATACTGTCCCATAGTTTGCTGATTCTGCTGGACGGGTTGCTGCATGGCTGCTTGAATCCCTTGCGTGGCAGCTTGTTGCGGCTGGGGCCGAGGTACTTGTGGAGGTAGCTGGCTTTGAAGCCTAGCAGAGGGTTGGGCCACAGAGTGTATTGCTTGATGGCTTGTAGTCTGGATTCCAGGTCGGGCTGGAGCTTGCGTTGCCGTATATCCGTTCACAGCCTGTTGATTGTTCACGCCAGGATGTTGCGCTGCTACTTGCGCAGCTGATTGAGCAGGTGTAACTACACCCGACCCAACTGCTGATACAGAGCCGGCGGCTCCCCGATTTTGGGGAGGGTGTTGCAAGCCACCCGCCAAGGCCATGATTCCTTGTAGTTTCGCTTGATCTTCCTCTGAGTTTAGCCGCGCCCGTTCTTCTGCTTCTTTTCTTGCAGCTTGTGTAGGAGCACGGGTCTTAAGCTCTCCCGTAACTGCTTGAAGATAGTAAGGCATCTCAGAGTTAGTTTTCAAGAAGAAAAGCTTCAGGTTACGAGCCTTGTCTTTCAGTTGCACCTGAGTTCTGTCCTTGAGAATGTCTGATATAGTACCAGCTGGTCCAAAGAGAGTGAGTATTTGACTCCAGTGGGGGCCTTTCACCATATCAAGACCTGCCATCAACGCCTTCTCCTCCTCCTGAGACCAGGGGCGACGAGTAGAATGAAGGCCCTCTCTACGAGTATGCGCTGTCGTCTTTGACAATGCCGCTTGTCTAGCCTTATCATATAGTATTGCGCTGGGGAATGATTGGTTTGGTGGTAAGTTTTCGCCGGTCACGGGGTGCTGAGGTTGCGGTTCGGGTACCACGTGCGACAAGGAGGTATAATAAGAGTGTTGGGCATGCTGTTGATGCAGATGACTAAACAAGCTGGACGATTGAGCAGCCATGCTCTCCGCTGGCACAAAGTCAGTAACGACATCATCATTTCTCGGTAGCACGGAGCGTCTCCCACCTGTACTTGTAGGCACTGTCGGCTGGTAAGGAGCAGGTGACAGCCCCTGAAGAGTTGTTTTGACATAATTCGACGTACTCTCTGCAACCAGAGCCTCGAGTTCTTTGTAATCAGTAATGTAGTTTCCAGGAGTCGGAGTAGGAGCTTCAGGCTTTGTCGTGGTTATTGTAGGAGTAGCAGGGGTAGCGGCTGCGACGGCGGTGGTGGTGACCGGCGCAGGTTCACTGACTGGCGCCGGTGTCGGTGTCGGTACTGATGCTGGTGTTGGTTGTGGCTCTTCATCTGTGAAACCAGCCAACGCACTCTGTACCAGACCCGAGGTAGTTTTCTCGAAGAAGGAATCAAGATCATCCATGTCAAGTTCACCTGTATCAGCAGCACCAGTAAGCCCTTGCAGAACGTCCTCTTCGATAGGGGCCGGAATCGAGAGCCCGAATGTCTGCCCAAGCTGTGTTGCTGATACGAGCTGCTCGCTGGCACATGTACTAAATGTCCTGACTGCGTTTTCTGGTGGGTACGAGTTTCTTACAGCAGCTGTTCAACGTGTTAGACCATTCATCGCAAGCCACCAAGATTACGGGATACAGCACTGACCAAGCCCAAGCTCTGACTGGGCAAGCCTGAGCAGCTCATCCTTGCGAGACTTCAGAGATGATAGTAGTTCCTGGGAGGAGTCCGACAGCGCTTGATCAGCTTGTCCATCCTTGAGCTTAAGCTCGAATCCTTCGAGAAGTGAGAAGTTGAGCTGTTCGTCGAATGACCTTGCGGGATCTTTTGTCTGGAGGTCCTCGATGGCCAGCTGCGTTTTGATGGCTACCCACAAATCTGACAGCTTCTTTGGCAGGATTACGAGAGGGTCACGGTAAATCGGCATCATGTGCATTTCTGCTTCACGCATCGACGAAGCGTCTCCGTCCAATATCCATAGACCTATTTGTGCGAGGTTGGAGAGCAGAATGATCGTCTGCGAATCGTGGCTAGTCATTTCAAATTCGCTGGCGAACAATATCGGGCCTGGCGAATAGAGACTTCTCGTCGCTTCGAGGCTCGTCCGGAGCTTGCGTAAGGAGCATGAATGGTCTGAAGTTGGATCTTGGAGCTTCTGGGTCGCCTCCTCAAACGGCTTTTGCGACAGCGTGAGCAGGACCGACATGGCCTAGAGTATTTGGAATCAGCACTGAAGTCTACGCATACGTCAAGGGACCTCCAAACGGACCAGAATGCCCAATGCATTGATATTCGCCTGGCGCACAAATTTCTCGGGCTCAGACAGGAAAACAGCAGGCGCAGGAGGCAGTGAATCGTGAATTTGAGAGACATCGAGATCCATGGGATCGGTGGCTGGGTCCGGCTCGGTGGTGGGCACAACGGCTGACATGTCGGGCTCGTCGCTCAATTGGCCCATAAGGTCATTGATGTTGGAGAGCGCATTCTGAACCAAGAGATCCATGCCATCCTCGAACGAAACCTCGGCCTCTGTCGCCACCCCTGCCTCCTTCTTCAGCCTTTTCGCGTCTAGATCATGATCGGTGTCGCCAAAGGACATGAGGGGCCGTTTCGAAGCCGTTTCGGACGCCAGAAAGAAATCAAAGCCTTCGAGGCCATGCGGCGTTTCTTGTTTTACTCCTCCTGCGATGGGAATGGTCAGATCAGGTATTGAAGGGTCAAGTAAGAAGGGGCCAAAATCAAGTCGCATATGAACAGATGGAGAGGGGCGCTATTGCTTCCACGTCAAAGGCATGTGGGTGTGCTAAGAGGCTACCATAGGGAAAACCGCAAGTGAAGTTTCAACAAGGCAATGCTTAGACAAAAGGAAATGCAATTCATCGCGCACCTGCTGGGGAGAGGGCATTGCTTGCCTGGAGGGGCGCTGTCTCTGCCATCATCATTGCCAATTGCCTCCGCGATCAAGGATGAATCGCATCTGGATCGGGGAGCCTGGCTCGGTGTCGGAAGATGGAAATAGATCTGGTCAACCGGCGCAAGAGAAAGAGCTGCCCAGCGCAAGTGAGGGGGTTCTGCTGCGTTATCTCGAGTCTCAATCAACTGATGCGGGATGCTGGAGGCGGTCTCTCGCAGAAAATTTGCTGAGTCAGGAAGTTTCGCTGCCCTTATATCCTGCCCCAAAACATTGATCGGGGAGATACACAAAAAGTCTAGCGGGGGAAAACCAAGCAAAAATTAATGCGATGCTACGTAATCAGCCTCAAACAGCAATGCTCTGATTCACCCACTAATTATTGCCCATCTTTATTAATATTATAAGAGTTACTAAATTAAATAATGCATTGTCTATATCTATCTCTACACAAAGGCTCTGAAGATATAGACAGTGCAGTGCTGGTCTGGCCATCAGGCGGCTGGTATTAGACTCTTATCTTATCTTCTGGAGGAGAGGGAAGCTCTGGATGTGGGTCTTCGCTCTTCCATATAGTTGAGACTAGTCTTGCAGGGGAAATGCCAACCATAGTTCTTTTATGTTGTAAGTCAGGTATGTGATCAATGCGATGTGATGTAGATAAGTAAATGAATGTTAATCAAGGTAGAAGAAAAATATCTTGAATTGGTACCACTGATATCCAATCTCAGAGAGGACAGAAACAGCTATACGAATCAAGCGTTCGGAACGAATGGTAGACTTGACCTGGCCGCCACGTCTCAAGTGCAGTTTAGCTTTACACTAGACTTAGACAATACGAGATGTGCTGGAACATTACGATCGTTCCTCGTTCTGAGCTGTATTGGACCAACCCATTGTCAAACCCTTCACCAATGACACTCGAATCTAGTCCCCCGGGCGGTGCTATTGGCGAGTGGCAAAGTTCTATCCCTATGCCGACACGGGTCACAGGCCTGTTTCCCACTGATGCATTGAGAGAGGAACAGGTAAACCCTCTTTGAAATTTCACTCTAGGGAACCTCATATGCATCTTGTATCTGCCAAGTAAGTCCACCCGAAACCACCCTCACACGTCTGTTTCTGCATCAGCACGTCTATAGGAGACAAGTTCTTGTAAACAGAGAGAAGAACTTCTAAACTTAGAGCAGTAACATGGTAGAACAGAACGTTACCGTTAATAGTTAAAGGTGCCATCCGCCTTCTCAAAGAACACCCCCCTTTGCTGAGCATGGGTCAGTTCCGGCAATGCATCGCAGAGGATTCTTGTGAGATGCAACATAAACAAGCCATCATGCGTACCCTATCCCAATTGGATTCTCCAGCCGTAGCCTCTAAACTATGAATCATCTCTACATAGACATCGTTCTCGCTAAGCTATAGCGGAGTGTCCCCCTTTAAGAATTATGTTGCTTCAATTTGCGATTGAATGGGCTTTATCTATTCAATATCGTATTCATTGTGTTGAGCTGTCGGGCTCTGGCAGCTTCCATTGCTGTTAAACTTTATTCTCTTTCTCTTAGGTATCTACTCAATATTTCCATCATATTATGAAGATACAAGCCAGCAACCCTATACTTCCAGTTGGTCCAGTTGAATCCAGTTTATCTTACCTGCCGAGAGTATTTGCCCTTAATCCTTGTCAGAAATCTCCAATTAAACATTTATTTAAATAGTATAGAGTTCCCGTGTAGAGGTTGTGTAATTCCATCCTCCCGATCCCCAGATGCTTCAACCCAAAAGGGGGCACCTTCTCAAGGCAACTCTCATCATATAGCGCGCCGGCAACTCCCCCCTTCCCTTAACTCAACAATAGTCTTCTAGGGAAAGCACGTGTAAACGTGAGTTCAAATACATCATCCCGAGCCTGCAATTCACTCTTCTAGACCAACTCATTACATCTCTCATCGCCCCTCTATCCTCCAAACACCCTATCTCAAATCTCAATATATTTCCTACCATCCTCGCTATCAACAACACACCATCATGATTGACAAAAAGCAGTGCCCGGCTCACACCCGCCAGCCATGGGGCAGCAGCACCCACCGCTACAGCCAGCGCCTCCGCTACTTTCTCATGGCCCTGCTCACCTTCCTGTTCTTCTCCATAATCCTGGCGCTCGTAGTCAACATTGCCCTCCACTTCGCCTGGGGCCCTTCCTCAGGCGACGACGACGACTCCATTCCGAAATTGACCAGCCTAGAGCAGCAGTCAGGCTCTTCTCTCAAGGACGACTCCCTATTTCAAACATGCAAGGGGCAGTTCGGTAGCTGCAAGAATCTCGACAAACCGGTATGTCCCATCTCTATTTCCACATATTTCCTCATTCTTGTTTATCATTGCGGTCTGCATCTTCTTTGCATGGAAGATACGTAGCAGAGTAGGGCTCGGAGGTTCCAGGTACGTTCTACTAACTTCAGCCTCAGGATTTCTGTTGTCCTTTGGAGACGACCTGTCAATTTGATCCCTTCTCACCATCAGGAATTCACTGCTGCAGCTTGGAGGAACCCTGTGTTACATCCCACGAGAATCCTCCACAATGCGTTGCCGGAACTACCCCATGCTCTGCAAAGGAGGGTGGCGGCTGCTGCCCCAGGGGTTGGGGTTGTTCTCTGGGTGGTTGCATTCGAGAACCAGGTTCTATTCTCACCGTCACTGTCAGCAACAAGGACGAATCTGCGACAACCATCGCCATCCAGTCATCCAAGTATCATGACGTGAATTCGTCTGTAGGTCAGGGAGTGGCCAGGGGCACCATGACGAACACATCGACAACCCAACTTAACAGCACCGCATTTATTGGTGTTAAATTTGGAGAGTTGGCCCTTTCTATGAATGGGGAAGCTATCAAAGATATACAGAAGGGTAGTGGGATTCCTCTAAAGATGAGACTTGGTCTGTCTCTAAAGATATCAGTGGTAATGGCGGCGGTTTCGGTTGCTGCCTCTCTTTAAGGCCGGCAGATCTATACTCCTAGATGTCCCTTCTGCCAACTCCCTCGAACGCAGGGCGGTGAAATTATGTGTGAAGTCTGGTTCTAAATTCCCCTCCACCTCCCATTATTATTCTAGTCGAATCTATTCCTCCAAAATTGCTTCCAGTTCTTTCCGTCGTGATTTGGCTCATCGAAGCTAGGACAATAGCTGTACAAGAGTAGCAACCATAGCCAATGCAAGTATAAAAGCTCGTCTACTGGCACTCGTAGATGATTCGCCCCCTCCTCCGTTCGCGGCTTCTGTCGCTGATGGAAAGGATGTTATGCCCCCAGTACCGTCTGCTGGTGATCCTCCGTTGTTGGACATGCCCTTTACTAGACCCGGAGATGCCGCCAGACTTGTCATGGTCTCACCCAAAGCAGGGAGTCTGACATTTCCAGGCACTTGCCACCATCCCCCTTCTGTGGAACTCGGACAAGGTCTGGTTGACACATGGCTCGGATCATAGTCATCCCTCTTAACACCTGTAGGCTTGATACTCGCCCATTTCTCTTTGAGATTGGAATAATCTGGTGTGACGGGTGTTGGTGTGCCCTTCCGAGACCAGTTGTCGAATACAGTTTCGTCATTTCGAGTAGGGTCTCCAACCGGCGGACCATATGATATCATTCCGTAATTGTTCTGCTCTTGAATCCATTCATAAACAACAGCGCCACTCCAATCTCCAACCATCTGAGGCCCAAAAATAGCGTCTTGGTCATGCCAAAGTCTTGGACCAGGAACGTTGCAGCCCGTTTCAGTGAAAAATATAGGCACGGGAAAGTTCTTTGCCTGCTCTTGGAGTTGGCTATAAGTCGACTCCTCGTAGGAACTTGGATCACACCATGAGTACGAATTGATACCAAAGAATTCAATCGTCTCAGATGCGTTACCCCCACAAGTTAAATATTCCTGCAACATTGGGCGTAGTTCCTTGATGTCTGCTGCTGAGTATCCAATTGGAATCTTCCGGTAGCCCTTCTTTTCTCGGTACGCTTTCATGTCTCGGGCGGCAGCTTTAAGAAACGGCGCTCCGGATGAGTCCTCCTTTCTAGCGATATTCTCATTGCCGATGAAGAAACCTAGGACATTCGGATAGGCCTGAAAGGTGTCCATTACGCTCGAAAATCGGTCAAACTGTCTCGTGCTCCAGCATTGGTTCGGCTATCAATCGCGTTAGCTTCTCATATTGCTGAACATCACCTCTTATGAACACCAAATCAAACATACCGGTATAATATACGTATCGAACGTGTCCAGGTCAATAAGCAAATAGATTCCGGCATCGGCAAAAGCGTTCATGCATCCGTCATGCTTCGCTGTCTCATCAACGTGGTAAACTCGAAGAGTGTTGACTCCTAGATCTTTCATTAAAGCGATGTCTCGGTTGCACTGGTCTGTGTCGACAAGAGGATCCTCAGGACGAAGTTGATAAGCAACACCTTTGAATTCAAAATGATCAGCCGAGCCGCGTATGTATTATGTCGGGGGGGGGGGGCATACCTTTGATGAAGAACTGTGAGCCATCTTTATTGAAGAACTTGTTCCCTTTGACCTCCACGGGATCAAGTGCTCTCGCCAGGCCAGCGAGTCCCAAAAGGCCGAGGCCAAGTCGGCACCAATACATTTAGGCACAGGGAGGACAAAGAGACACTGGGAAATTTTACAGGAAGCAGAGAGTGATGGGAAATAGTGCTTGTGTTTGGCGTTGATTGATGAGCAGTGATCATACACGGAATACAGACGGAGAGGGGCGTAGATTTGTGCCTATCCACTCCATACAGCTTCAAGAATAGCTCAGTTCTCGGATCAGGAGTTCGAATGGGATGTTTGCATGCAAAGGAGAAGCCAAATCAAAGAAACACTTGGGGCGTTGACGAGATCCGTTGCCAGATGGTCATAAGGAAGGGAAGGGGATAACAGATCAAAAATCGTGAACGGGTGAAAAGGACGAAATGCTTGCTATAGGGGAGGTGGGAGTGGTAAGTTCACCTCGTGCCTTCCCAATGCCCTGTCCAGGTTGTACCAACTTAGCTGGGTCCAACTCGGGGGAATGAGGCAAACAGGCGGCAAGAGGCAGGTACCCGCGGCCAAGGTGAAAACCCGATCTTTGTGCACCCCTTTAGAATTAAGCTGCCTGTTACAACGTGTTCGTCACACATGAGAAGTCGCGGTATAGGTTAGAATCCAGCTGCGACTGACCATCCCTACCTCTGAGGAAGGACAGACTCCCGCGTGGGACGTCGCGCAGAAGCTTGTTATGGCTTCCTTCATCCGGTCGGGATTGAGGGCAACATCCTCTTTGTGGTTGGCAAGCTATGTTTCGTGAAGAGATTTCGCAAGGGCATTGCATGTTGCTTTGTTCGCCCAGGTGCCAACCGAGCGCATCTTGCACCTACTTCTGCAACAGCCAAGGCACTTACCAGAGAGGGCCTCATACGTAGGTAGGTACTGTTCTTATACCTACCACTTTTATGAACAAACCGAGACGGCTGCACCTACCGACGGTACAGGAACCTTTTCCTTCCGAATTGAATAGGAAATAATCCACGGGCCTGCATGATGGCGGGAGAAATAGCAGATAACCAAGCGACTATAGGGTATCGCCAGAAACCACCAACCCAGCCCCTGTATTCCACTTACAAGACGTACACAACCCCAGCAGCTACGTATTTGATCACGCAATGAGGGGGAAGAAACGTAGAATAGCATAAAAGGTTTCATTTCAGCGTCAGAAAAAAAATCATACGACGTCAAAAGTACAAAACTCCATCCCAGAATATTGTCCTTCAGTTAAGTAGTAAGTTGACAATGACACAACGCCTCGCCGAACGGGAGAGTATTCCCATGTTCTCCAATAACCCCAACACATACAGATAAAGAAACTCCCAGTAAGCCTCGCCGATTTAATTATAGTAATAAGTTCCAGTTTCGCAACCCGCGATTGACCAAAGATGTGCGTTTTCCCCTATCCCCTCCCGCGTTTGGATGTGTACACTGCCCTATTTGGAGTCATATGAAGAGGCAAGTAACACCTTCACGAAGCGATATAATCGTCACAAGAAAAAATCCCGGGATATCATGATGACGCCAATTTCAATGGAGTCATACTTATAGGGCCCTCCAATCTCATCCATAGTGGTGCGGACCTCCACTATAAACAGGCCCTTGGTGCACTTGATTCGCATATAGAGGCATTCTAGATCGGTCGGGGTGGGGTCGTATCGGCCGTGGAGATGGAATTCCCCTGGCAGCAGCAGAGGTAATCTCCATATTGTCATCCCTGTCGCTACTTCCTGTCGTGACGCTGCTGGTCCGGCTGTGACGAGAGTATTCGCTGCTGCTGTTGGTCCGGTGGTGTAGCAGGGGCGGAGGGCTCTCTGGTGATCCGAACGCAACACCGGTGTGGCTGTATGGATGGGCTGGAAGGACTCGGGGCTGTCGGTAGAAATGGGCATCGTGAATCGGTACCTGGCCTGGGAATGGGAATGCTTGAGTCGAGGGCACGGGGTAGTGATTGACGCAGTGCGGCTCACTGATCCCACAGTTCTGTCGGAGAATTTGATAAATGCGCTGTAGGATCTCGTGGGCGGGTGGTCGTTCGAACGGGTTGGCCGCTAGCATCTCAGTCACGACGTGGAGGATCGGGGTGTATCCACGAAAAACATTGGCACCATCCTTGTCCGAGGCCTTTTTGGACGCATCCTTGGCCAAGTTGGACATCCAATTCTCCACTTGATCGAGATTCTTGTGAAAGGAGGAGTCAAGAACTGCGCCGCCTCTTCCTGCTTGCTTGTGTTTTGCGGCTCTGAAGCTGGCGAACTTACTGCCGGAACGCTTGAGAAGGTACGAGAGAAGTTCGAGAATAATACAACCCAGCGAAAAGATGTCGGCTTGTTGGCCAGGGCTGGGCATCGCCGGCGATCCACGAGGTCCCCCAAATTGGCTAATCCCGGGTGTATTGTCCTCGGGGGAAGCCGACAGAGAAGCGAGGATTGATCTCCGGGATGGGGGGCTGCCGGGTCCGGATGGCCGTTGCCACTGCTCGGGGGCAGCGAAATCATACCATTCGCGATCAAAAGAGGCCTTGTCTTCTTGGGATGTTGATGTGGTGGAGCTTAATCTCGTGGGATCTACGAGAAATATGCTGTTTTGATGAGTGAAGAGGACTGCTGAAGGTTTGAGATAGGAGTGGGAGAGGTTTTTGCTGTGCAAGAAGCAGACTGTGTCGACTAGGCAAAGAATCCAGTTGACGACAAGCTCTCTCCGCGTCTTCTTGGGCAGGGCCTTGAAGGTGGAGGGCGTGCTAGACAAAAATGACTTGAGGTTGAAGTCGCTCAATGGGGTGAGTAGGAGGTAGTTGAAGCCTTGGTGAGTGTATGACGCCCAGTATGAGATGAGATGCCGGTTCTGGATATGCTTAATTGCGTTAACCATTTCCAGGAATTCAGTCATTGTGGTGGCCTCTGGGAATTTCCCCAATTGGTACTTGCGGCGAATAAACGTCTTGCCTGGGATATTGGGGAGCCGGACTTTCTCAACCTGGCTGCCCTTGGAGCTAAGGTGGGGAGTCTTCTCAACAACGTCGAGCGGAACGAGTTCCTGGTCACTGAACGACAAGTGCTCACCGCCCTCGATAGTCCTGACGAGGTAATGGAACTGACGCTGGTAAAACTTGCGATCCACACGCTCATCCTTGGCAGCCGTGAGCTCCAGGCGCTCGACATCGCGGGTTGCAAGAGGAAGCTCAGCGTCTTCCCAGCCATCGTCCACGATACCGAAGATCTGATCCGGCAGGCCGATATCCACGAGGATCAGGAACATGCGCTTGGCGTTTTGCTGAATGCTCTCCCAGTAGGTCCTCTCGGTCAAGGCCTCGGAGCTGAAGCCCACAGGCTTATCGAGGAGCTCTATCTCATCGCGAACCAGGTGCTTCTCGACGAACTGGCGGGTGACAGTGTCGTCAATGCGCTGGGCGACCCACCATTGCCCCATGATGTGTTCTCGCCTACCTCGTGGCCCAGCAGGGCATTTCCTTTAGACAAGGGACCTTGGGTGAGGGGCCTAGAGTTTTGACTCTGGGGCCAAGACTGAAGCCGGGACTGGCAATGGCTGGTAGGGTGGTAGCAGTACGCCCTCAGGAAAGGCAAGACAGAGCAGACAAAGCCATACGCAACAGAGAAGGCAGATGGGGAGGAACGGATCGGAGGAGCAGTCGGAACGCGGCTTTCCACTAGCACCTAGTTCAGCGTGGGCACGCGGAGGGCGAGAGGTAGAGTCATATCAAAAAGGAAGAGTGCTTCAGTCAAGAGCGACTACAGCCAGGGAGATATTTGACGTTCAAGCGAGGAGCAACATCCAGAGTCAACCGGTGGCCTGACGGGACAGGACAGGACTGAGCGAGTGTGGGTCGGGGGGGATGGAAAGGGCCCTGCCAGCTCATTGCACACACACAAGATGATGCCGGGCCAGAGACGAGCAGCGCAGAGCGGAGAGCACGACTGGATGGATTGGGAATGGTGATGGGGAGGGCTTATCTTGGAAATTTCCAGCGCCCGGGGGTGCTGGTGCTGCGCTCGCGCTCAAATGTGAATGGAGGGGCCGGTGGTGATTGGTGGGGCGCGAAGGCGTTGACGGGCGCTGATAAGAACATCTCTGGTCAACCGCTTGCACCAGCGCCCGCCCGTCCTGCACAAAACACGCCCAACAACCACACGCAGCACGCGGACGGCACAAGCGAATCCTAATCCTCGCCTTGCAGCCAGGCCCCGACCATTCTCGATGGGGCCTAGGCCGCCGCACCGTCCCCAACCCAAATCTCCTGACGGCCAGATTGATAGGTTGATCGATTCGTGTGCCTATCTGCCTCGAGTGCCGACGACGGAGCGTGGTGGCAAGAGACGAGATGGGCGACGGCTGGTGCGTGCCACTGTCTCGGCGCGCTCGAGGCCAGAGCGCAGTCCGCTGCAGCCAGAACCGCCCAGCGGCCCATCCGCACGGCCAGCCCAGCCAGGCCGGAGGGTGCGCCTCCTCATCATTCGTTCATGTTCAGGTTGCGCAGCGTGTTTGCGGGCGTTCAGAAGTCAGAAGTGGGGTTTCACCGATCTGCCGGATGCCAGACGAGGACTAGACCCTGGCCCTTTTCCTCGGAGCCGGCCGTTGAGTCTCATCCAGCAGCCAAAAGGCCTAAACTGTATGCACAAATTTAATGGCAATGCTATGCTGTTGTAGCATCAGCCTCGCGGGGGGACTATTCGCTCCTTGACCTGCTGCTACCCCGACTCCCTATATAGAGTCGCAGTGCGTATTGCTGCCCTCAGCCTGTTACCGACGTCGTGTTGAAGTAACATGACCCCTCCTAAGCGGGCAATATGTAGGTAATAATGACCTGTAAGTTATCACGGTTGGTCAATTGACAACAATAATCTCAACAATATGCAAATTATAAACTGGGTCATTGCCTATTGTCCACATTTTGTTTCAGCATGTCTTGCTTGTCTGACCACTACTATCGGATTACCATTCGCTATCCACGTCACTGTACCGCTAACATGGTTAATAAGGGCACCAACAAGTCAGGATGGACATGCTGCATTCGCATCACAACATATGACATGGCGCCGCCTACCAATCACATATTACTCGGTGAGCATGTCGGATGTCGTCTGTTGAAGAGGCAGCCAGGATGCGGCCAACATTCAAGTTGGCCGACATGTGGTGGCATGGGGCCTAATTACACTCTCGCTTACATGTTATCTCGAAACTCAGAGACGAGGAATCCCCCTCCTCCGTTCGACTTTTAACCTATCACAACTCGCACCGTCTTCCCCATAGACGTCTCTCGTGTCTCTTGTTTTGGTCTGCCCGCGGAGATGGGGGGAAAGGGGAGGGGTTCTCCCATGCGCCAACGGCCGTTGCGAGACTCTTGCGCCCGCAGAGCTGCACCAGCGCGACACCAAGACAGAGAAGGCCGCCAGGGGGGGGTGTTTCCTCCCCAACATCTCCTCCACCCCACCACATTGACTTAAATTGCTGTTTCGGTCTGGTGAATTGAATTCCGAGGAGAGTTCCGGCTTGGGGGGTTGCATCCTGGTGAGCCTATCGAGTACATATACGACCCGCGGTATTGACGGGGCGCGCGTGCGGCGCGGCGTTTAGTGCAACGTTCAGCGGGACTATGAATATAGCAAGCCGCATTTGCTCCGGAACAGTCATGTCATTGTCATGTCTCATTAAAGAAAGCCCGTAGGCAATGCTCACTCTGTCTACTTGATGCTGATCTCTGAATCGCTGATGGCACCCCGCCCTCTGAACGTCCTCATCCCTCGGTCCACCCCGGCTATCTTCCTCGCAATGATCTGGAGGCCGGCAGGGAGGACGTTATACCAGTCTACCCACCGCGCATAGAGAGGCAAAGCAATGGTGGCGCCTCTTCCGCGGTCGATGGCGTCCACCATCTCCTTGACGACGTCCACGGGCTCTACGACTGGCGCCATGAAGCTGCTGGGGGTCTCGACTCCGTAGAACAAAGGCGTGCTGAGCTGCCCCAGGGTGACGAGGACCGTACGTATCTCCGGGTGCGTCTCCCGGAGCTCTGCTGTCAAAGACTTGTGCAGAGCTGAGATGCCCGCCTTGGAAGCTGCGTAGTCGGCCAGCCGAGCGGCTCCCAGGTGCCCGATGACTGATGATATGTTGACAATAGTCCCGCCCCGGCCCCCACGGATCATGCCAGGGAGGAACGTCTTGATGCAGTAGAATGGGGCCACAAGGTTGGTCCTGAGGCTCTTGTCTATCTCCTCTATGGAGATATTCAGAAGGGACCTGCCGGCAACAACCGCCGCGTTGTTGATGAGCACTGTAGGGGTCCCGAGCTGTCGTTCCGTGTTAGTCACAGCCTTCTTCCGTAGCCACGCACCACCCCCCTGGGGACGAACCAACTTACATCCTCTTCAATCTGGGCGGCAACCCTGGCGAGCTGTTTGCTATCGCCAACATCACACTTGTAAAACGTGACGCCCCTCTCGTCGGCGTCCTCCATCTCCGCCACGTCCAACACTGCCACCGAGGCGCCCCTCATGCCGTAGACCTCAGCAAGCAGCAGCCCCATCCCGCCCGCGCCACCGGTGATGACGATGACCTCCTCGCCGAGGTCCACCTCCCTGGGCGGGCCGTGAGCGATCCGGTCGTTCACAAGCCCCGCCAGCCAGACAATTGAGATGAAGACGGCCCAGGCGAAGGCGCCCACCATCGGGGGGGACTCCCATTTCACCGTGCGCGCGCGCAGGCAGAGCGGGAGCAGCCAGCAGATGAATGGATGGAAGATGCTCCGTTTGAGGATCTTTGCGAACAAGTCGACGGAAAAGTGCGCGAACCACGAGCTTTGCTGTGGTAGCTGCTTCTTCCCCGGTGATTCTTTCTTGGGGCGAGACATGTTCGGCTGAGGATGAGCTTTGGTTGTCGGCTCTGATTGTCTGCTGATCGTGGTTCAAATAGCCGCGATACACCCTGGCTGCAAACAGAACCTCGATTAAGACACACCACCGCAATATGCCTCTTGGAAAGGCGAAAAGAAAAGATACCGAATAAGAGGGAGAAGGAACTGTGATTAAATATTGTCGAAGCACCATATGACCACCAGTAAGGGTCTTCGTCACTCAATGGGGCTTGTCGGGCGCTTAAATCGGTGACAGATCTCGAGAACTGAGCCAATGTTAGTCAAGCCCTAGCCTATTTCGCTGGGTCCTGGAGCGACCGAATTGCCTTTATGATCTGATAATGCAGCAACACTTAAAATATCTAAAAACACTGGTTTATTTCTGCTTGCACATTAGGTACTTCAAGATAATATGATCATTCAAGGTACAGAAACAGAAGATGGGCACTTTCTTCTTCTTCTTTTTTTGGCAATATGTAGTGAGATGTGATTAGTATTTATGGATGCATATCCGTCTATATCGTTCGAAAATATTTAATTGTACAAGCAGCTCTAATATGTTACACGACCTTGCCAGCGGCCTTCTGAAGACCCTCTCTGTATGCTCTGTACTTATTGGTCTCTTCCTCTTCCCAGACCTTATCCCGCTGGATGCGCGCTCTTCTCCGGTCATGGTACCTGGGATCTCTTGTGATGCCCTCGGCACGCCACTTTCTGGGCGGCTTCACACCCAGAGCTGCCTTCTTTTCCCAGATCTGCATGCCTCGGCGGTGCCATCGTTCTTGTCTGGACTGCTCTTCATCTACCGACGGCTGCCAGTGGCTCTTCAGAATACGTCTGATGTTTTCTGGCGACACCTCAAACTTGGCCGCAAGGGTCGACGTCGTGTATATATCTGGGAATTGGGCATTGAGGGCACGAATGCCGGCGAGTGCATCCGGCGAAAGTCGTTTGATCGGCTTCCAGCCATCAGGAAACTTGGCCTTCAGCATTTCCTTTTGGATCCTCCAATCCTCCACCTCCTTCTTCTTCTCGGGCTGTGAAGCAGAGGTGGGCTCTCCGGGATCGCTGGAGCCCTTGTGCAGACCCGGTTTCTGCTCGCGGTTCTGTGACCACTTCTGCTGGCGATCCTGGAACGGCTTCTGCTCGCGATTTTGGAACGACTTCGGACCCCACTGTTGATTTTTCGCTCCCGCGCGCTGCCCAGAGTAATTGCCCCCTCTCTGAGTCGAGGGACCATCGTACCTCGGCCTATCTGAGTTTGCGTCGAATTTCCCAGTCTGCCATCTGGGTCTTTCAGATGGGCGTGCTGTAAATTTGTTGGTATGCGCTCTGGGTTTCCAGGCAGAGTGAAACTCGTTCTTTCCTGCATGGGACCTGGAATCCTTGTAGGAAGCCTCGGGGGCTTTCGAATGTGTCCGAGGTGCATCGAGATGTGAAGATGAAGGGCTGGATTCAGCTGCACCTTGTTCGGTCGTTTCAGCCTGAGCTACCTTCGTAGCGGCGACTTCTGCCTCCGCAGCATTGTCGCTGAGAATTCGAGACTGGTGAAATAGTCTACTGTGCCTTGCGATGGACAATTCTTGTAGGAAGGGTTTGGACCGGCCGGCGGAGATGTATGAACGAGATAGCGAAGAAGATTCGAGCCTATGGACTTGGGCAAGGCCGTTAATGAAGGTCCTGAGAGGAGCGGCACGGCAGGAACAGTGCATGACTCTCTTTGGCCTTGAAGCAATGGCCTGCCTCTAATTCGTTCCTATGATGGCTTGGCGGAGAGAAGAAGAAGAGGAATATTAAAAAAAGGTCAAGAAAGAATTAGGAAATGGAAAATAACGACTGTCGCGAGACCCAAAAACTGTCGGCGCTTGGCCTCCAAAAAGATTCAAAAAGTGGGCTTGCGCCTAGCCTGAAAGGGAAATAGTTTAACCGTCCGAGAGCACATCACCAATGCTGGCATCAGGGAATTACTGTTGATGGTGTACATGTATCCATCCCTCGCAAAATAAATTGACTGGTTTGTAACTGTAGGAGTATTTATGACAATTATATTTGTATTAGTTAACGGGCGAAGCTATTGCCCTGACGCAGCAGCCCTCAATCTTGAAGCACTTACACAATCTGGAACTCATGTTGAACTCGTTGGATGGTTCGGACTTGATTCAGGTTCGGACTTGATTCAATTGTTTCAAACTGTCTCTATTTTGAGATGGAAAACAGCGCCAACCATGCATTGTGCGATATTCCCAAGCGAACCTAATGTACATGACTCTTTTTGGAGTTTTCGCGCCTTTTGCATCTGCGTACCATACTGAAAAGAACCCTTAATGCTGAAGACGCCTTGCCCACGTGCTCGATCATTCCAATATTAAACATTTGTGTAAGCTTTTAAAGTGCAGTGCAGAGATATGCCCCCCAAAACTAAACAATTCCTATATGCCATGGGGGATTCCCTGTGACGCTGTGAAGCAAGAACCCGCAAATCAATCAAAACGCCTTGAGAATGTGCTTAGTTATCCCTGAAACGACTCCGAACAAACTCCGGTGAAAGAACAATGGAGGAAACAGGTGCTTATGAGTCGGCCATGAGCTCCAGAGGAGGCCTGGATGTGTGAGCCATGATGGCCTTGGACTCGAGACTCAAACCCTCGGGTTCATCGGTCATATCCTCAACCACGACCGCTGGCATGTGGGGGCTCTTATCATCAGGCTGGTAGATGAGAGTAGAGCTGCGACTGCGAGTTGTGCTGGGCATTCGGCTGTCTCCGGGAGTCACAGGCGACTCGAGGGCGGGTGACTCTGTTGGGCGGTGAAGCTTCGCAAGTGCTAGGGCGAGATCGTCGGCGTGGACAAGCTTATTGGGTGCATCCTCCTGGCGGACCTCCCATCCATGGGGTGGGCTCGCAGGTGGGGAGATGAAGAAGAGCTTGCCGGCGTCAGGCAGCGCCAGACGCTCATCCTTGGCCTCGAGAGGAGTATTCTGACCAAAGTATACCCGGATACGCTCCCCTGAGATGTTCTCGCCATCCCACACCTGGCGGACCTTGATGGCCGCCTCTTCATCGAAGAATGACACAATGATTCGTCGGAAGGACTTCAGGGGTGCCCATGTATGAATGGTGGCGGTTCGGGAGATGAGATCGCGGATGGAGGCGAGAGAATCGGCGCCGAAAATTGTGAGATCATTGAGGTTGGTGAAGATGAGTGTGTTGGAGGGTGGTGTCGGCTGCGACAGAGGTGGAAGGGTGGAGAGGTCGAGCGTCAGGTTGGACTTCCTGGATGCGTTGGAGGAAGAGCGCGAAGCGCGGGTGCTGGACTCTAATCTGGGTTCCATTGCGAAAGGTAGAATGTGACTATGGATGGATCTTGATAAGGTGTTTTCTGGCGGTCAGGAGGCTGAAGACTCTGGAGACCGAGGAAGTAGAGGAGAATTGTGATCGGGTGAGCTGCTGTATAGTGAAGACCAGGTTGTGTCTAGGTGTTGTTCTGCAGCAGAGGTTGAGTGTGTGTGAGAGGTTTGGATGTTGAGGAGAGTGGCCCTGTTGTTCTTTTAACAGGTGTCGGAGTGGAATCGCTCTCGTGCGGGCTGGGAGGGAGGCGCCAGTGCAGGCCCCGCAAGACCCCTGGAGGCTGGGCCGGCTGGGGCAGTGGCTTCAGGTTTTTTGGGTGCTGGGGTGTTCAAGGCGCTGCACCACCAGCAAGCCACCATTTACTCCTGGCCAGTCCCAAAGGGGCAATATCCCAGAGGGAGGCTGTGTCTACCTAACGTCTGTTTCAATACACCTATGGCAAGTCCGGCGGCACATGTTGTCGATTGTACAGCCCACCACTCAAATCTCTTCAAGGGCCGACTGAGTTTTCACAGGCTTGGACACCAGCCCCTATTCGTCTTATGATTCCGGCATCTGACTTTTCCCCTCGACCTAGCACATAGCCTATCTTGCCACGAGGAATTGGCTCAAGCATGGAGGCTGTGTCTTTGCTTCTCTGGCGAATGAGACACTCATTATTACGGACCTGGGACCCACCGCGGACATGCCCATACATCAATCTAGGCATGTCGCTGCTATACGCACGCAGCGGCAAATTACACTGACTCTCCAAGCCTCAGATGTTAACCTAGTCACTCACATCGCGGCTCAGCTCTCACATATCCTCCACGCAGTAAATTGCGCTCCAGTAGGAGCAGCTTTGCGATGGGTCCCTGGGCTTCAAAGGGCTCACAAGCACTAATTGTCAACCTCGGGCGCACGTCCTGAACTGGCTGACTAAGGTCAAGGCATATGGAAATCAATCTTAAAACACTGCCCAGTGGGCTGCGTCCATGACCAGCTGGACTCAGGCTGCCAGGAACGAGAGTGACACTGCCCAGGGCGGTTCCACAAGGCTCATCGTCTCCTGATGGGCATGCGAACCTGACGCTGCTAGAAGATGCGCTCGCCTCGTGATGCTTTCCATCATGTTCTCCCTGGTGGCAATACGCTCCCCGCATGGGACCAACCTGGTTTGATCAGCGGCTTGCAGATGATGTAATTGGTGGTAGGTAATCCGGTTTAGCGCCAACTCGATGGACCATTGCTTGGCATAACATTACTAGAGGCAACCACAATGCGTGGAATGATATTAGTCGTTATGGCAAGTATTGCCCGGAGTCATACAATGATCCGAATACGCGCTTGCGGTGACCAAGGCGGCAGTTTGACCGTCGTATGGAGTTCCAAGCATGAAATCTAAGCCCACCAGTCCACCGCGTCATTTCACAGCCCGGCCATTCTGAATGGTGCGCAGTCCTGGCTGGCAACTGGCGACACACCAGCCATGGTCGACGATATTACAGATATCCAGATTACCTCAATAACAGCAATGCCTTGCCTCTCGAATATTCTTCAGGCACCCATCCTTTGGCCACCTGGGCCCTGTATGTCCAATATCATGTCTTTTAGTTCACACTCTAAATCTTACAACTTTGTTGGTACAGCGTGATATACATAAATCGTCAT